GCCACATGTTTTGATGAGATGCTCTGGGGTTCTGGTCATTCACAGCTCCTTAAAATGGCCAGTGTGTACCCTGATATCCATGTAACCTGCTGAAACAGTGCAATCGATGGGCTGGGCTGCTGTACCTTAAAGCTTCAAGTCGAACAATTCACTTAAAAAAAATCCAGCTGTTTAATAAGTCAGCAGCTCTGTATGTTGCTTAAAATAGAGTGAAAAATGTGAAATAATGAGTACCAGAGTTTGTGTCCTGGCTGGTATTCTGCTCTGTCCATGAAGTAGCTGCAGCCTCTGGGTACCGTATTTAAAGTCCAACAGCTTGAACACAGATCCTAAAGGACCCCTTTTCTGCCTGGATTAGCAAAGTGCTCGGTCACAACAGCGGGGCATCAGAATTCCAGAATGGATCCTGGGTCTTCATGGGCCGCTCAGGTGGACACCGCCTGCTGTTCACTCTTGTCTTTGAGCTGTAAGTGTAGCTTTCATTTTAGGGCCTGGGAATTGACAGGAGCTGGGGGTCGAGGGCGGGGGAGTGCGGGGGGTATCTGTGGCATGTCGACGCCTGACGGCAAGCCGTCGGCCTCGGCCAGCCTTCCCTGCGTTCTGCTCCATGGCGGGATGCTGATGTGCAGGCAAAGAGCAGATTCAAAATATAAACCAATCCTGAGTCATAACTTTTGTAAATGACGTCGTAATTCCCAGACTACCTCCTTTGCGGTTACGTCATACCGTAACAATAAAGCCTCCAGCCTGTAATGCAAGAGATCAATATTCACATTTTAAGAAAAGCAATAAGAAACGAGATGATGGGGCTTCTCTGCGGCTGGAGTCTTTGCCAGTCCAGCTCTTTGAAAGTACCTTAGACCCCCTGTTTTTTTTGCCAGGTTAGTTGTCTTGGAAATTTCCCAGAATTCCCCCCACCGCTTGCTGTCTGTTTGCTTTCAATTTCCGGCTCACAGAAATGGAGCCTGGACGCCAGCTATGAGTCTGACATCAAGGAATCTCCCGTCGTGTCGAACGCAGGCACTCCTACAGTGGCGGGGACGGGGCAACCACTTCTGGAGTCGCCCCACGCCACGTCCTGAAAAACATTCATTCTTGTCTCGACCCAATAGGGCGAGGTTATGGCCGGGCTTCGCTCTGTTAGACCCCAGTCAGGGTACAGGTATGAATTCTACAAGAGGTGCACAAAGCTGTGGTGTGAAACCAGCCTGGCAGGTAGGAGCTAGATTGGCGGAAACGTTCATCTGATCTCCACCCCCCTCGTCCCTGATGTTGGGCCTTCTCCCTGCCACCCAGCTCTGCGTTTGGGGGGGGGGGATCACTGTTGGACTGGGCATAAGGTGCACTGGGCATCTGTGGGGCCCGTGCATTAGTGGCTGTGTGTGTTTGTGTTGACATCAATGGCTATGGATTAAAATCTAGTTGGGCTGTGATGTGCACACGTGAGCCTGTACATCAATGTATGCTCTAGTAATTCTGTTTATGAGGGTTTCTCTGTGTTGTCCCTGACTGCTGTGCCTGCAGTGAAGGTGTGACTTTTACTCCAGCAGGGAGTGGAGGGGGGGCTCTCAGTTTACTGTAAACAATCTGGTTTTACACATAAAATGCATCGTCTCCATGAGTGGGATCAGGAGGGAGATGTTGTAGAGGGGAATTCCTCATCCCTCATGCTGATTGGCTTTCAGATGAAGCCGGCCCCCCAACTACACACACACACACACACACACACACACACACACACAC